CCATTTTCGGGTGCGGATCTGGGTGCGCCCGGTTTTGGGTGAGGTTAGTGAGGGCGGCGAAAGAAGAGAGATCTGATGAGGGAAGGAAGGAAGGGAGCTGGGGGTGGGGAGGTCGGAGTTCAGATTTGTGGGAGGCACGGATCTGGACGCCGTTTTGACTTCGCTCCTTTTGCTCCAAAGGAGTCCACGACTCGTGGGCCCCATGATATTTCTCAACTTCCCTTCTCTTTCTAAAGCCCACTTTACTTCACTTTTTTGGTGTTTCCCTCGCTTTCTTTCTTGGAAGAGTGTTTCTTGTGTTTGTTTAGTAAATAAACGTGGGGAATAATTATTTTTCATCATTTTCTTTAGTTTGGTTAAATAAGAAAGTAGTTGATGTGTGACTTGATACCTTCATTTTATAGCGTTTGTTTCAAACTAAAAAAATAGAAGAAACGATGGAGTGGTCGCCATGGTGTGCTTACCACGTAAATATGACAAAATATTTGTCAAACATAAGTGGGGTGAGAATACCCACCATTTGAGGGTCTAAAATTCTAAAAAAATATGACCGATTTTAAATATAAGGTAGCAATTTGTAAAAATTTTAAAAAAGATTTGAGGGACTAATTACGAACGTTGAAGGGAGTAAGTCCAAATCTTCGATTATTCGAGAGACAAATTTAAGTTTTTATAGAACCATTTGAGAGACTAAATTCAAAATATGAATATTTGAGGGAGGAAATTGAAATTGTTTAAAGATTTGGGGGTCTACTTTGGTAATTTGTAATATACTTAGAGATTTTAGTGACTACTTTTAACTAATTATGGACATTTAGGAGGGTAATTCAAAAATATCTAAAGATTTGATAGATTAATATTAGGTTTGGTGTAGTAATTTAAAAAAAAATTGAAAGGATTTGAGGAAATAAGTGCAAATAATTTGATAATGACTGACTAACATCAATATTTGTGAAGTTGGGGGGCTTTTAAGAAGATAATCTCCAAATTTTGGAGTTCACGTTACTACAAGTCCTGTAGATTTTGCAGAAACAAAATCTATGGGACTATTAGTCACGTTGACTTGCTAGGCATGCACAAAAACGTGCACACACAGTATACCGGACCACTAGTCACGTGGAAAATACAGAAATATAATCCACGGGACTAGTTGTCCCGTGGATTTCCTGGAGACTCCACCCACTCATGTCATCAGTTAATAACCAGCAATATTTGTTGTACAAAATTCAAGAGCTCACTGATCATCAATCAAAGTCCAAATATCATAACAATGCTTACAAATTGCTCTCTGTACAGTGCAACTAAAAGATTGACGCTTTTTACCCCAAATTGCTCCTTATAAATCCAATCATGTCCAATTTCACATCAAAAAATATCAAATTGAAATTCCATATCACAATTCCTATCCTGATAGATAAATGAGTTCTCAAAGCATTCCATATCATCACACAACTCAGCAAAAATGACAAACAAATACATGAGCAAAACAAAATAAACAAAATCAAAAAGTCATAGTATCAAAAAACTACATATCATCATAGGAGTCAAGTGTTCTAATGACATCCTGCTTGGTGGGAAAATTCGAAGAAAACAATTGAGAATTAAATTTGTATTATTCTCTCTGACAGGCTCAGAAAAAGAATTAATTACAATTCTCTCAATACAACTTCTTTCTAACAGACTTAGAAAAGAAATTACAAATCTTCTCGATCGGTTTCCCGATTGACAAAAGCGAAAAGGGATCGATGGAGACTATTTCCTTTGTTTAACCTGGATTCTTCTTGGTGTCGATGGAATGCCTCCCTCGATATTCATGTCGAGTTTTCTTTCTGTTGACGATCTGAACGCTTCACCTCATTGGAACACGGTATTTTCCTCTTGATTGAGGTTGAAGAGAACTTGTGTGGCAAGTTTGAAAATAACTCTTAACGAGTTTAATAACTCGGTGCGAGTTTAAACTCTATAAATGAGTTAATCGATTTAACCGAAAATCAGTTTCAAGCCGAGATCTAAGCTCTCTGTTGTTGAACCAGAAGATGCTCTCGGTTATTGAAGGAAGAATGCTGACCTTCTCCTCAAAAGCGCCTTTAGATCTCCAAAATTCCAGCCCTTTGATGATCTACCCCCCCCCCCCCCCCAAAAAAAAAAATTCCGATTTAAGCTGATTTTTAGCTATTTATAAGGGATTAAGGGTTTAACCACCCCCCTAAAATCGCTCCTAAGTAGGGGAGTGATCCCCTCAAATCGCGAAAAATAGTTTTGAAACCGTTCAGCTTGTGTTTGAACGAGTCAAACACAACATCCGCGTTCTGGCATGAATTCTGCGTTCAAACGCAGCATTTGGAAGCTGCGTTGGTAGCTTTTGGAAACTGCATTGGCAACAGTTTAGAAACTGTGTTGGCAGCAGTTTAGAAACTGCGTTGGTAGCAGCTAGAAGCTACGTTGGGTAGTAAATGGAAAATACGTTGACAGCCGTTTGGAAGCTGCATTAGCAGTTTTTAGAAACTGCGTTGGCAGCAGTTTGGAAGCTGCGTTGGTAGTTTTTGGAAACTGTGTTGACAGCAGTTAGAAGCTACGTTGAGTAGTAGATGGAAGCTACATTTACGGCTAAATGTGTCCGCACGTAGCTCGAGACGATGAGAATACGATGAACGTCACCATCCGAGTCAAGAGGGAGGATTATCCAGTTGGCCGCTACGAACATCAGTCAGCTTGCGCACGTTAGTTAGCACGTGCACGTCAGTCAGCACGCGTGCGTTGTTCAACTCAAAGCGACCGAATGCGCACGTCAGTCAGTCCGCGCGCGACAGTCAGATCCAAAGTGCCCGACGCACTTGTCAGCTAGTTCCAAGTGCCGTAAAGAAGTTAACGAACGTATGAAGCGAGTTAACAACGCGTGCAAGTCAACAAGAAGATCAAACACGCAAAACGATGGAGAATACAAGTTCCGGAAAGTAAAATGCCAAAAAAGAGTTCAGCTGAGACGGCGGACCCGCGCCGGCGCGAGAGTCAGACTCGGCTGACCCACACCCCTGCGGGTCAGCACGACCTGTCTCGCGCAGGTTTGACCCGAAAACGCGTTTTGATGGGTTTTAAGCGGTTTTCGCAGGATTTATCCGTTCTAGGGGTTCCCAACTGATTTGATATCATCCACAAACATGGTTAAACCGTTATTAACTGATGATAAGGTCAAATCACTCATTCTTATCCAAATACCTCCAACCGAAGCCTATAAATACAGGCCTAGGGGCTCATTTCACAGGGCGGCGATCAAGAGGGTGAAATGCTGTCGAATTGGAGAGTGGAGCCATGAATTTACAGCGAGGGTTAGCAGATCTTAGCGAATTCCTGTGCATAAAGAGTGGAGTTCGAGAGCTCTGAGACCCGTCCCCTATTTCTTCGGATTTAAGCTTAGTCTTAATTTCGAGAAGAGCCGTAATTTCGCTTGGTCGGGATTACCGCTGCAGTGATTACTTTCTTCGTAAAGTAAAAGCTTTGATTAAATTAATCTGTCAACCGGATCTGATCTGCGACGGTCCATGGATATTAACGTCCCCGGCATAGGCAAAGTTCCCACTCAAGCAGCCGGTGATAAATGTCTGTTGCGCTGTTTGACAAGAGTTGCATTATTTTACATTTTCATTATATAAGTCTATCTTATAAAAAGATCTACTTTTCTCGTTTATTTGAGTTTATTGTAACGACCAAAGTTGTAATAAATTCAAAGCAATGAAAACATCAACTTTTGACCCTAAACAAGCTGGCAACCACAGTGGGAGCCAACAGCC